CACATACTTAACCAGATCTAGTGAGAACTCACTATCGGAGGACAGCACCAAGCCATTAGGGATCTGTCCCCATAGTCCAGTCACCTCCCACCGGGCCCCACCTCTAAAATGGAGGATTACAATTCCACATGAGATTTGGCGGGGTTATGTATTCAGACGACATCAGTGAGAAAGTGGAGAAATTGGAACTCTTGTGCATCACTGCTAGAAATGTAAAATAGTGTAGCCGCTATAGAAAACAGTATGGTAGTTCTTCAAAAAATTAAATGTAGTTTCACTTCTGGGCTTATACCCAAAAGAAGTAAAAGAAGGGACTTGAACATATATTTGTAAACTCATTACATATAAATGTAATTAATGCCACTGAACTGTATACTTAAAAATGATGAAAATAGTAAATTTTATGGTTATGTATATTTTGTCACAATAAAAAATAAAGAGTAAGAAGAGAGATGCTAAGAAGAGTTGGGGGAGTTACATGATAAGCCTTGGGAAGCTCCTGAGAGATGGCAGTACCCTAGGAGCCACGCCCTGGCTTTGGTGGCTTCCAGTCTGGCTAGAGCTTCCTTTTCTATGAGCTGTGTCCTCTCTTTCTCCTTTATCAATGGCACCAGAGGGAGGTGAATGTCTATGGCCACAGTCCCCAGGGACCGAATAGGAGAGGCCAGCATAGGTCATATACCCTGTGCCTGGCATCAGTCCAGGGTTTTGTCTGGGTGAAGGGACCACTCTGCAGCAGTCAGAGGCTGGCCAGAGGGAAAGAAGGTCACAAGGGAGAGTGGAAGTGAAGAGGAAATGAAAGAAAACAGTGAAGGAAAGGGAAGAAGGTAGTGCGAGTGTGAGAAAGAAACCAGTGCCCCTTCCTCCTTGCAAAATGGTGGGGTAGAGGGAGCAGATAAGATGGTTGCTGAGGCAGCCATGTTCCCCAAAGCTGGAAATTAAGGGTGGGAGAAGTGAGAAATGGAACAGGAGGCCGCTGTAGTAGCAAGATGTCAAGATGGAAGAGACTTTGTATCTAACTGTCCTCCACTGGGACAACGTCTAGTACATGAGTGTGGTGGCCTTATGACGGTGAAGTGCAGAGCCACTGAGTTACTGCTGCCTTCAGTGACTGACCTATATCAAATACACAGTCCTCTGCTAATTGTGAGAAATGTGTCTGGGACATACCATTGTGGGTGTTAACAGTTGACCATAATCAATACTTTGGCTGTAATCCATGGTCAAGAAATAAGGTGTTGGGGTCAGCACTGTAGGAATGAATCTTACAAAAGAGAGAAATTGCTGGCTCAAAACTGATTGGTCTCCTCTGAAAAATGAAGTTTTCCATTGCTGTTGAGATCTTTTGATACAGACCTTGCTGAGATTGTCTTTGGTAGTTTAAGTCACTGTGGAATTTGAAACCTATGTTCTCATTGAATTGAGTTTGGAGAATGATGTATTTCCTTCTATATTTTAAAGATGATATCTAAAACTTTTTCATCTTAAATAGAGGCAAAATATGTGATTTCTGGCATATTGTAAATGTTAAAATTTTCATATAAAACTGTTACATTGCTCTGATAAATATAAAATGTGTTCTGAAAATGGAATATAAACACTATTGCGATTTGAAACCCAACATCATCCACTTTTTAAATACAAGAACATTTCTTATTTAACAGGGAGAAAATTTACATCATTCACTCCTGACTTAAATCACATTTCCGTCCCACTTCCTCCATTGAGTCATTTTAACGCAACTTTTATTCTTCATGCTGTCCAATTTCTTTGAAAGGAAAACATGTCCATAAACTAAAATTTATTTTTTTTCTGATTAAAACTCTCTAAACTTAAATTTTTCATTTTAGTTTAATTATATAAATCAAAATACCTTAAACATATAATACATTTTGATAAATTATTTTTAACTACAAAAAATTTAATAGAAATGAAACTGTTACTAAAATAGATCGGGGGAGGAATTCTATGAGGTCTTTGCTGAAGGTGATTTTCCTGAGTGATACAGACAATTGTTCTTTTGCTTAGCGCTCCAGACACCTTTGCAACTTGAGTCACTGTACCAGAGTTGGATTTCAGTTGGGTGAATCTTTTGTAAGATGCATGAAAGGAAGTCCTGGTAGGAAATTTGAGAAAACATTAATATGGCAGATGAGTTCCCAGGTGGTTCTGTGTGAGAAAAGAGAACATATAAACCTTGAGAGCCTGAAAACTGATTGCCCAGGGAAGGGAACTTTGATGTACATCACTGCTCAAGGGCAGGAGTCTCCAAGGGCAAGTAGGATACATCCCAGTGGGGTGTGAAATTAAACCATTAAAACTTTATTTTTTAAGCTGTCACTTCTAAATTTTCTACCCTTTCTGTGGTGAGGAATATTTTGGGTATAATTTCTAATACATTGGTAAAGTAGAACAAGGGTGTAAATGTGAAAATTTGCCCGCCTGGAGCAAGACAGTGATGAGCACGATTTTAGAATCATATCCGTCTGTCTCAACTTGAAGAACGATCTCACCTATGATTGAGTTCCGCAAAGCGGGACTTCGCAGAAGAGGGCTCTAGATGCATCACCACGGTCTGAGTTCTCCACTTAACCTGTAAATCATGCTTTCACTGTGATGATACCTTGGAAACAATGTTACCAGAGTGTAGAGTGGAGCACCTGGATGAAAACTTATCTTGAGACTTCCTGTAGGATTTCGGTGTCCTCTGTGTTATGGGGGGGCCCAGGTCTGGATCCTTGGTCCTCTTTGTTTCTCCAGCCTTGTTTACTCCCTTTCATCTTCTTGATTCAGTGCCATCCATCTAATCCGCAGCTCAGACCTCTCTCCCAAACTTCAGATGCTAGAATCCAATTTATACCCCACTTAGGTGCCCACCAGGTGTCCCAAACTTAAGTCAGAACTGAGCTTGTCATTTCTTTCCACTCTGGAACCTGTTCTACCTCCAGCTTCCCCGCCTCAGGTGAAGGCAGCTCCATCCTTCTTGAGTGACACTTCTTTTTTTATCATTCACTTTTTGTTTGAGATGGAGTTTTGCTCTTTCACCCACACTGGGGTGAAGTGGCACAACCTTGGCTCACTGCCACTTCTGCCCCCTGGTTTCAAGCAATTCTCCTGCCTCAGCCTCCTGAGTAGCTGGGATTATAGGCACCCACCACCACATCTGGCTAATTTTTGTATTTTTAGTAGAGATAGGGTTTTGCCATGTTGGCCAGGCTGGTCTCGATCTCCTGACCTCCGGTGATCCACCCACCTTGGCCTCCCAAAGTGTTAGGATTATAAGAATGAGCCACCATGCCCGGCCACCTGAGTGACACTTCTAAACTGTGAGTGAGATCATGCCAGGACTCTGCTCATAATGAAGGAAGAAAGGCTGTGAAACAAACCTCTCAAACACCGAAGTGGGAAGGAAGTGGTGATGTATTCGGCCAGGAGCTGCTGTGGCATAGATGCCTAACAGTCAAGCTCCACTAACAAAGAAAACCCCTGCCCTTTTAAAGGCTTATAACTCTAGAACTTACATGTGAAAGGGTCTTGATCCATGAAGCAGGTGTGGGGTACTTGACTTAGGTGGGGTGTGATTGTGTTTAGGTAAAATCAATGCCTTCCGGAAAGATTCCTCCACACCATGCCTGCGATCTACAGGAGTGCGATTAAGGGTGGCACCCGGGCCTGCCAGCCTTTACCTCTCCTATTGAAATGCAATGGAGAAGTCTAAGGGGAGGGGCTCTTAGAAGCTTAGGAGGATTCAGGGTCTCCTTCCTCACTCCCTGCCTTGAGAATCTCACCTATAACATTAGTGAGAATTCTCACTCTCATTCTCATTTTCCTGATCCTCTGTTTTAGCTATTAACTTAGTAGGGCTGTTCCATCACCCTGTTGTGAGTTTAATTTCAAGAGTTGTATGCACCGGGCACTGCGGCTCAAGCCTGTAATCCCAGCACTTTGGGAGGCCGAGGCAGGTGGATCACGAGGTCAAGAGATCGAGACCATCCTGGTCAACATAGTGAAACCCTGTCTCTACTGAAAATACAAAAAATTAGCTGGGCATGGTGGTGCATGCCTGTAATCCCAGCTACTTGGGAGGCTGAGGCAGGAGAATTGCCTGAACCCAGGAGGCGGAGGTTGTGGTGAGCCGAGATCACACCATTGCACTCCAGCCTGGGTAACAAGAGCGAAACTCCATCTCAAAAAAAAAAAAAAAAAGTTGTATGCATGTGGGCTCTCATGGATCCTAGCAGACAATGGGTTGTCCCTCCCCTGGGCTACACACCTTTTACCAAATTCCATTATATAAACAGGCTCCCTTCTGTGTTCTGCACATTCGTAACAACTGTAGAACAGAAGAACGGCAGCAACCTTCTGTCATACTTCAGTAACCTGGTGCACACACTGATAGCATGCTCTGAAATCAATTAATGTCTCTACTATATAAGTACAAATTTTAAGGAGAGTAAGGCCCTTAAAATGATGGATTTCCTCATGCTTTGGCTGTGCATGAACCAGCCAGCTTCTGGGATATGCCTGGAGCAAGGCTTGTTGTCCTTAAGGTGATTCTGTAGTCACTGTCTGGGTCTCGTCTAGCTTCCCGTCGCTGCAGGTTTTTTGTGGCTGTGGTGGATCCAAGCTGGGATTCCCTCCACCTTTATGGCTGTGGGAGTGGTCAGGACCACAGTCTGGGGTTCTTTCCACTGTGGCTTCAGAGAGACTACATTCCAGTCCTATATCCACATGCGATGACTTGGTAAGAAAGGGTGAACTGGGGAGAATAAGCTTACAGGGCCTCTTTCATTTACCCAGGTTGAAATATCCTGAGTGATTTTTCCTAGAGCTTGTAGCTGTCATCCTAGCTCAATCTCTCCCCACTCCTGAGAAGTTCCCAGGAGTGCCTGCAGTATGGGAGGGGGCCTATGATACAAGACTTCATGGGGGAATATCCTGTCTTCTTAGAGCGAGTACATCTAATTTTGAATAACACCAAGGGAAGTGCTCGCACCCACTTTAATCCTGTTTCCTGACACATTTTCCCTAAGCTATTCTTAATGGTCTGGTTCATCTGCTCCACTTTCCAGAGCTCTGTGGTTGGTAGGCAGTGTGCAGCTTCCAAGTAATACCCAATGCCATTGCTGTTTTTCCGGACCAAATCTGCCACAAATGCTGGTGTGTTGTCTGATCTGATGCACAGTGGCAGTCCAAACCTAAGGATGAGCTCTCGAAGAAGCACATGGGTTACTTTATAGGACTTCTCAGTCCTAGTCAGGAAGGCCTCTACCCACACGGAGTATGTGTACACCAGGACCAACAAATACTTAAGTCGCCGGCACTGGTACATTTCAGTGAAATCTACCTGGAGGTCTTCAAATGGAGCTTCTCCATAAGCTCGAATGCCAGGGGAAATAGTTGAACTCTATCTCATGTTGTGCTGCTGACATGTAATGCATCGCTGTACCACAGTTTTGGTCAGGGCTGATAAGTGTGAGATGTAAAAATGCCAGCCTAACAACTTCTCAAGTGACTCTTGGCCTAAGTGAGTGGCTTCATGTACAGCCTGTATGGCCACAGCCCCCAGTAGCTGCAGCACTGCTACTCTTCCATATGGCAGCCGGATTCATCCCTCTTTAATTATTTGCCCCTCCTTAGTGACTTCATAAAGGGGTCTGGCCAGTACCGCGAAGTTTGGAATCCACAGTCTACAAAAACCCATGGCTCCCAGGAACTTCTCTCCTGCCTTCTAGTCTTGGGTTCTGGCGGGTTGCAAATGACTTACTTCCTCTCTGCTCCTAGGCTGCACTCTCCCTGCTGGATGATGAACCCCAGATATCGCACTTTCTGTCTGCAACTCTGGGCTTTCTTTTTAGACACTGTATACCCACAGTCCTCCGAATGCTGAAGTAAGGCATCTGTTCCTTTTGCGCACCCAACTGCCGTGGGGTGTCCCAATAAAAGGTCATCAGCATATTGGAGAAGCACGCAGCCTAAGTCCTTAGCAGGAAACTTCTAGAAGTCAAGGACTAGTGCCTCCCCAAACATGGTGGGAGAATTCTTGAACCCCCGGGAACAGCCAGGGCCAGGTGCACTGGGTGGTTACACCTGTTTCTGGATTTTTTCCATTGAAAAGCAAATAGTTTCTGACCTTCTGAGGCCAGTCTAGTGCTAAAGAAAGCATCCTTTAAGTTCAAGCAGGTGAACCAACTATCCTCCATTGGCAATAATCCCAACAGCATGTACAGGTTGGGTACAGTTGGGTGCAAAGTCACTGTGGCCTGATTAACCAAATGCAAGCCCTGTGCTGGCCTGCAGTCTTTGGTCCTTGGTTTGGAAACAGGCAAGTGGGGGTGTTCCGTGGAGACTGGCAAGGAACTCTAATTCCATAGTCCTTTAAGCATTTTAGGTGAAGCTGAAGACCTTCCAGGGCCTCCTGGGAAACTGGATATTGCTTTTGCCTAACTGGCTGAACCTCAGGCTTGACTTCAGTGAGCACAGGGCCTGGCTGATTGCCAGGCTCGGCGGATTGTCCTCTGCCCAGATCTTAGGCCATCGTTTTGCTAATGCAGGTCCTGTCTCCCGGTCTGGTTCAGTTAAGAAGATGGGCATGTAGAAGAACCGGTGAATCGCCTCGTGCCCGTCTACCTTCCAAGTCCGAGGCAAACAGAAAGACTGTTTCTCTGACACCCCAGTAGCTCCAGTACTATTGGTTGTTTCCTTTGATGGGAGGTTACAGGACTGTGGTCCTGACCATGGGCTCTTTGGGGGCGATTGAGCTTGGCCCCCCTCAATCCAGTGGCCCTTCCATTAGATTGAACAGAGCTCCTTCACTTTCATCTGAAACCCTGTGCTCAAGATCTTCTTCTTTTCCTGTCAACTGGGGGCACGTGTCCTTCCAGTAAGCACACTGGTTACACTGCAGGCATAGGCAGTAGCCTTCTAAAGCCTTCTAGGGTAGACTGGGTAGCCTTCTCAGAGCCCCCCTTTCCCCACCCTTCTGGGGGCGCTCCTCTAATAGTGGCAGCTATCAGATTCGTGCTCCACTGAGCTTGACACTTGATTTCTCTACGACTTTCCCTATGGCTTACCAGGTCTCTGTTCACAAACACCTGGTTAGCCATGCCCGCTTCTGTAGCTTTCGCCTAATGTCTCTGCACACTGACTGCCTAATGCCATATGTGCCATGCGCTGGTATTCAGGGCTCTCAGGATCAAAAGGAATGTACACACGATAGGTGCGATAGGCTTCCCACAGCCTCTCATAGAACGGTGCCGGGCTTTCTTCTTTCCCTTGAATAACCTCAGAGACTTTATTGATGTTTGTAGCTTTCTGGGCTCCCTTTTTCAATCCTTCCATTAAGGCTGCTCTGTACCAGATTAGCCTTTGCGTGCCCTCTGGGGTGTTTGGATCCCACTGGCGGTCAGTCCCCAGTAACTGGACCCTCATATACTCTTGAGGGTTCTGGTGATCCGCTGGAACATGGTCCTCCAAACACTTGGAAGCAGCTTGGGGTCATCTCCATCCTTCACCCATGTTAAAAATATACATAAGCAGCCGGTGACAATCAGCCCAAGTGGGGTTATGAGTTTGGACAATAGTTTGCAATAGGTCAATGAGAGCTTGTGGCTTCTTGGTATAAGATGGGGCGTTATTTTTCCAGTTGATAAGATCGGCTGAGGTGAATGGCAAGTATGTAAAAACATGCCTTACCACCATGTGGCCATGCTCATCCACTCCCACATACCTCTGCTCTCTTAAAGGTATCTGCACCTTTGCCTTGGGCTGCAGGGGGGCTGCTATACAAGGAGTTCCTCCTGGGAAGCGAGTGGCTATGGGAGGAGTCCCTCCACATTCTCTCCTGTCTACTCTGGTTGATTTAGGGGTGTGCAATTCTGGTGGAGATTTCAGGCCCAGGGGTGAGGAGTCCTTCTTCCAGACCAGGGGGAGTGGGTATCCTCGGCAAAAACTCCTCTGCAGCTGGATCTGCCAGGACCTTAGGAGTCTGCCTCTCGCGGGTGGAGCAGGGTCCTTCCCTAGCTGCCTGTCCCTTTGCCATCAGTACAGTTGCTGCCTGTCATCTCAGCCACTGTGGGGGGTTTAGAATGAGCTGCAGCCATGAATCTATGTATGGAAATTGATCAGGGTGTCCAGGCTGGCATGTAACCTTATGCCATACTTTGGAGACAAGGGACCTGTCTAGGCTCCCCGTCTGAGAGCCAATTCACCCAAATGCTGGCCAGTCTACCTCACATGAGGTCCTCGGCTTTCCTGCTGTTATGGTTACTCCACAATCCCCACTAAATCTCTTCTTGAAATTTTTCAGCATAGTCCCTTGAGGAGTAGGTTTGCTATGAGTGTGACCCGTGTTTTTGCACAGAAAAACAGAACTCACAGACAGTTAAGAGAGTTTTACTCCACCCTCAGTTTCTCCTGCCCAGCACAGCGTGACACACTCTCTTTTTCACTTTCACTTCAGGCCAGTAGGATCATCTCTCCCCTCGGAAGTGTTTCAGATGCCACTTGGCATCAGAGAGCTCGTTACTCCCCTCACAATGCCTAGATTGTGAGGGCACCTCCATCTTGCCATATGCAGATCACCCTTAATCCCAACCAGTCCCACAAGTCACTTGGAGCTTAAGGACCTGTCTAAGGGACCTGCAGCCCCCACATTTCATGTCTCTTTCACTTTTGCTTCAGGCCAGTAGAATCGTCTCCCTCATGGGAGTGTTTCAGACGCCGCTTGGCATTCGTGAGTTCATTACTCACCTCAAAATGCCTAGATTGTGAGGGCACCTCTGTCTAGCCATATGCAGATCACCTGTAATCCCAACTGGTTCCCACAAGTCACTCAGAGCTTACGGACCTCTCTAACGGGCCTGTAGCCCCCACATTTCATGGCTGGTGAGTCCAGCTGGACCCCTCCAATCACTCACAAAATCACACTCCCCCCTCTACCCAAATTAAAACCAAAAGCAAAACTTCTGAGGTTAGTTAGAGAGAGAGAACGGAGTTCAAGAGTGCCAATTCCAGCACATGTGAGTGATCAGGCCAGGCTTCCACCTAAAGGAGGTGGGCAAGTTTCCCAGGCTTGATCCCATTGTGTTTCTGTCATCCAGACACTCCAGGCACCTGTTCCTTCTCAGTGTTTAGCCCCTGCGTGGATCCACACTGTGGGGGACTTTCCTGCTGTGCTTTCCTGGCAAGGCTTTCCACTGGGGCCAATACCTGCGCAGGAGCACTCTCAGGAATTGCATTGCCCAAGTGGGCTAAAGTCCCCCGCAGGGATGCTTCACAGGGCAGAACCTCCTGAAAGGCTGTGCCAACTGAAACTTGCTTCCTGGTCAGGGAACCAAATAATGAAGCAGGAAAGGCCATGAAACAAACCCCTCAAACACCGAACTGGGAAGGAAGTGGGGATTTATTCGGCCGGGTGCTGCGACGGCATAGATGCCTGACAGCCAAGCTCCTCTAACAAAGAAAATCCCTGCCTTTTAAAGTCTTCAACTCTAGAAATTACATGTGAAAGGGTCTTGATCCATGAAGCAGGCATGGGGTACTGACTTAGGTGGGGTGTGATCGTGTTTAAGTAAAAACAATGCCTTCCAGAAAGATCCTCCACACCATGCCTGTGATCTACAGGAGTGCGATTAAGGGTGGTAGCCCGGCCGGCCAGCCTTTACCTCTCCTGTTGAAATGCAATGGAGAAGTCTAGGGGGAAGGGGCTCTTAGAAGCTTAGGAGGATTAAGGGTCTCCTTCCTCAAAAACACTGAAATGGCTCTCCACTTCACCCAAGGAAAAAGTGCTTACCACGATTTCCTGGAGTTTTCACATTCTGCCCTGCTGCTATGCTTTGAATGTTTGTCCTTTCTGAAATTCATGTAGAAACTTAATCTCTAGTGTGGCAGTATTGGGAGGTGGGGCCTTTAAGAGGTGATTGGGTCATGAGGGCTTTCATGGATTAATGGATCCATGGGTTATCACAAGAGTGGGACTGCTGGCTTTATAAGAAGACAAAGAGAGACCTAAGCTACACACTCAGCTCCCTCACGATGTGTTGCCTGGAGCAACCTTGGAACTCTGCAGAGAGTCACCAATAGCAAGAAGGACCTTACCAGATGCCACCTTGACCTTGGAGCTGGTCCCAGCCTCTAGAACTATAAGAAATAAATTATATTTAGTTTATTTCAGTTCCTTTTCTTTATAAATTGCCTAGTTTTAGGTATTCTGTTGTAAGCAACAGAAAACAGACTAAGATAACCTTTACTTCTTCAAACTCCTCTCACTCCTCCACTCCCAGCCTGCTGACGTACAGCCGCACTGACTTCTCAGCTCTTACCTGTACACACCAGGTATATCCCCACCTCAGGAACCTGCTCTACCTGATCCTTCGGCCTGAACTGCTTACTTCTCCTCAGCAGGCCCTTGGCTTACACCCTCACCTTTCGCCAAAGTTTTCTCTCATTGCACTTTTCCAGTGAGCCCTACTCTGACCCCTATTTCAAACTGCAACCTGCCCCACTCCAGCCACAGCAGTCCCTAAAAACCCTGTCCTACTCTTTTTTTCACACTATAAAATTGACTTATTAAAATAACTTTGGTTTTCTGCCTCCTCTTGCTGGAATAGGAGTTTCATGAAGACAAGGATCTTTTCCATTCTGTCCACCAATGTATGCAATTTCCTAGAGCCTGCCTGGCACATGGAGTGTGCTTGAATGAGTGAACAAGCCAGTGAGTGACTGAATAGAATGCAGACTGAATTGTGCGTAGCTCACTGCTGCAAGGAAACGTTCATCATGCTTTAAATAGAAAACAGTTGTGGGCCATGTGAGTTCTCACATAGTGCATGGAGCCAAGGTTTATAAAACTCAATGTCTGCACCAGACAACAATCAAGCCAGGTTTCCATTTCAGGCAGGCACATGGCACCCTGTCCAGCCAGCCCCTCCTGCTCCGTAGTCACTTACAAAAATTCAAAAGCAGCAACTATTGGAATTACAATGAAGATTTTTTCCTCTTTTCAATTCCAGAAATAATTGGATTAAATACCCATTTATTGTAGATTCAATAACATCAAAATGCTGATCTTATTTTCAGATGAACTAGGCAGCCTTACAAGTTACTACGAGATGCCTCTTCAAAACAGGCATTCCGTGATTGCTTGCCAGCAGACTTGGGGTTAAAGATGAAGTCTGTTTATCCTAAACTGAAAAAGCCTTGAAGTTATTCATAAACTGTGCCCATCAAACTTATCCAAACAGGCATTCTCTAAAAATTTCATTCAAGTTAAAATATAAGAATTGATTAAATAAAGAGTTGAAACTAAGGCTATCTCTATTTCATTAAGTCCAACTTGGATGATTTCGTTTCACCAAAATAACATCTATTATTATATTACGTTAGGGTCATTAGCGTGTTTTTTATACTTTAATTTTAAATTTCGTTTTAGTTTTGTGGTTAAGAATCATGCTTACAAGAGCGTTTATACCTAGTTTCATGTTTGTCATAAAAACTGAGTCCTAACAAGTCTCTATCTGTTATTTACCAGAATTTGGGACAAATTCCATAAGGAACGACATAAGGAATAGGCATTAGTGAGAAGAAAAAAAAGTAACAATGTTGGAATGAGACAAGAAAAGGCAATGAGACCACCCATTTCCTGTCACTCCATAGAGAGGAAACCCAGGGCCAGCCAGAATGTGAGGGACACATGATGGGGCTTGTGTCCCAGTGCAGGGGTGTTTCCCATGCGGAAGTTCCTCCTTACAGAGCAAGTAGACAAATGTTGTCTTGTCAATGGGGAGATCACCCCAGCATGGTGCCAGCAGCTGGGATATGGATGCCAGCTATTTGCAGGAGTGGTCTGGAAAGGACAGCTCAGTCCCTGCCACCAGGGGAAGGAAGTTGCTGGTCCCTGTTTGCTCATTGCCCAGCCAACACAGCATGCAAGTATGACACTTCTACTTGATACGTCACCGTGTTTGATGTATTTTAAATAACAGTGTAATAAAAACCATTAAAATCAATAACAGATGCTTGTTACTTTCCTTTAATAAGTTCTACATAAAAGTCAAGTTTTTAAATGTTGCTGGATAAGCAATGGGATTTGGTGGGATGCCAAATGCCACTGGTGTTTGTTGAAAAATAGCCTCATCCCACCAAGATATTTTAGCTTACTATCAGCAGATATTTTAGGAGACGTTGACTACTACACAACATCAAGTAAATCCTTCACTTCAGGGAACTGTATTTTTGGGATCTGGGGTGAATTCACAGTAGAAATAAGCCCCTTGGCTATTTTCTCCTTAGTGGCAGTGGTATATTCCTTAGAGAGTTCTTCCAAGGTTTTGAGGTTCTCCAAAGATCAAACTAACGCCAATCTATGACATTGTCAGATAGGAGTTGATCCACCTCTAGCTTGAGATTCAAACACAGCACATCCTATGGTG